TTCCCATTGGTTCAATCTACTCGATTATTGGTGATATCAACATCAGGTAAGTCTTGAACCTGATTATTTCTTTGTATATCGGCATTAGTGTGGACAATTCTTAGCTGTGAAGAACTGTCAACAACCGGGTTGGCAACAACATTGTTTTTCTTTTGACGATGCCATTTGTCCGTTCCAGTCAATTGCCATACCCACACCTAAATCGATGCGCTGGACTAATCCACGGTGTTCGCTGTGTCATGTTTGTTAACTTGACCAACTCCGGTTTGATCCCTACGACCGTTCAAATCAACCGCTTTGTGAGCCTGTTTACCTCTGAAATACATCTTGTTGATGACAGCAGCATGTTGACGCTTATGATTAACGTGAAATAAAAGTTCGTCATCAGCTGTGGCTCTTGGCAGTGGAACACCAACTCGGTTTTTGTTCCAGTCTACTTGAGAGTTCCCCTTAAAATATTTATTAAACGGATTTCGATAATACACTTTGTCATCATTAACAGAAGTACATTGTCTCCATTGACGAATCATCGTTGCCAATCTCAACTCGCCGCACGTTCGTTCCACTTTCATTATTAATGAAACGGTAAGAAAGATCAGCGTTGATCAGAATGTTATGATTCAATCCGAACCAAGAATGACGACCAACATGAATAAGAAAGGTCTACAATATGTCTCATTTTTATACCTTGAACAGGGTATATTAAGTTTGCCATGAAGTTTGTAACACCCAGAAGGAAACGTCTGAGACCCGTCTATCTGTATATATATACAAACTAGTCCCTCAGTTTTTAAGCTATCGATCTGAAATTTTGCAAATATCCTTTTCTCACTAAGAAGCAGCTCATTTGTCGGAACGGTCGATATCGGATCACTATAGCATATAGCTGCCATACAAACTGAACGATCGGAATCAAGTGCTTGTATGGAAAACTTTTTCATTTGACAAGGTATCTTCACGAATTTCGGTATGGAATATTATTTAAGGCAATAATCCTATCTCCGAAGCAATTGTATAGGTCGGATGACTATGGCATATAGCTGCCATATTAATTGAACGGTCGGAATCAAGTTCTTGTGAAGGGTATTATAGCTTCGGTACAACCGAAGTTAACGTTTTTTCTTCTGTGACCTTGTGTTTGCTCTTCTTTATGCCGAATTTCACCCTCCAACATTGACCCTACGTTTCTTCCTAAAGCAACACGTGTCCAGTCTCACAATTTGTTCATTTTGAAGTACTGATTCGTCTGCACTTCAATCCTTGATTAAAGAGTGCAGGAATAATTGGAAGTCAACGTCATTTGTTAATAATCGAACTTCATTCTCCTTCAGCAAAACAAAGGATGGCAACGTTACCGGTAAGACAATGCGATCATCATCGTACTTAATAATATGCGTTGGAGTGTTTAGACCACCAACTTTACGCCCTTGTATTTCTATACGCATTTCACGCCATGGCATCCACAGCTGTCCATGGTCTAAAGTATCTGCATGTTTAGGATATTAACCACACAGCTTATTTAACCCAATCATTTCGAGTGTTCTTGGACGTTGAGTTTGTCTATTGGACATATTGGAATCACTCAATTGATTCCGATTAATTTCTTTGCCATTAACGTGATCTCGGACATATATTAGATTCCGTTGTAGGGTATATCAATCACGTGAACGTACAAACACGCAATAAAGCCCAATTATTTGACGAATATCCTCGACATCGGCGATGATATACATTTCATCCTTAGCCAACAATTGTTGATTACGACTTAGTTCTATAACACGAGCCATCTCATCGCCGATGCCCTAGAAGTAAAAAAAAAAAACAAAAAACAAAGTGTTTAAGAATAAAAAATTATATGCAAATACCCCAATGTAAAGAGTCTGATTGTCGACTAACTGTTCACGTTGCAACTTAGACACCTGTAGGAGTTCCTCATCGTTTACGTTTGATTCTTGCACATGTTGAAGTATGTCAAGCAGGAATTTCTGGATGTATGTCAGGCAGGTTAAGGATGGAGATCTTCATATCACTGGTGCTACTGAGTTGAAATGTTGAGGATTTAAACAAGTTAACTTCACTTTAAGATGTGTTGATTAAAACATTTAATCTGAGATATTTTATACTAAATCAATGGGTAATACATATTGAATATTTAATATAACTTTCTACATTTATCTTTCCGTCAAGTTTCACTTTTAAAGCGTTAACAAATTCTAGCAGATTTTTTGTAAATATTTTCATACTTCCACCGACAACATGGCGAATGTAAAAAGACATTGGCGATTATAAATGCTGTTCGTTGATCGTTCTTATCTTCTAACACAATTAGAAGCCCACACCACGTGAATTCCAAAATTATGCAATTTTCTTTCTTTTGTCGTCAGCTAAAGGTCCACGTTCCGACACCTACACCAAATATATACGAGTATATTACATACATATTTGAATTCTTCAAGTATAATATTAATATTATATTACTGAAATTGTAATAAAATAACTAATACGTAGAGGTATTATGGTACATCAATGGACAAGGATCTAACCATCTCACTTTTAGAAAATAATATTTAAAGTCAATAAAATTTTTGTATGATTTTTTGTATACACACATATATATAATGAATTCTAAATAAAATAAAATTATTATTATCAGCTAAGCTATTCGCCCACATTGTCTGATTGTTTATGAATAGATTTTGATATCTTTACATTTGACCTTAAAATTTCAATTCAGAGATAAGAATTTTTACGATCCCTTCGATAATGTGTGTTTATGAAATGTATACAATGTCGGAGTACTACAGTAGCGGTATTTTTGTTATTCACGAAACTGTTCCCAACATATTTTCAACTCCTCTACTACATTTGCCTAAAAGTATGTAATGCTATTCGAAGCAATTGCAGTAAATTCTAACGAATATTAATCAAATACCTCCGGTAATTTTCTATCAATCAGACTAAAAAATAAGTAATAATACTATAATTTCCGATCGATTTGCCAAAAAATTATTTCAACTGATTCATTTGTAACCATCGTGGATGATCTAATAAAAATGTAAAACAATGAAACGAAAAGGAAACGTGCGATTTAAATGTAATTGATAATATGTTTTGATCTACCGCTTCATGGTATTAAGTTTCCACTAAAAACTGACAAGTTTAATTCACTTTATTGCTCAAAATATTAATCAGTCAATTTATAATAACGCAGCTCTACAAAAAAATAATTTTTTCTCGTTGCACTGTATAGCTTAGCAAATGCTAAGCTTCCAAGTGTTCAAGAGTGTGTCACAGAGAGAGCGGTAAGATATCAAGATTGATGGGATCGTCATATGATGGCAGATTACTGCTGGGCCTTAAAAAAAATATTGTCAACTGGAAAATTGTAAAAGAAAAGCTCATAAAAGGCTGTTTACTTAAACGTATCCTTATTTTTCAAAACAAACAGACATTATACATATATCTTATATTGTATATTATTACAATTTTTTTTATGTTTCATGTTTTATGATTTTTGTAATGTAAAATGGAAATAAGGATTTAAAAATAAACGGGAACAAATCATACAAAACCATTGATAGTTTCATGATTTGTGAGCTCAAAATCGATACAGTAAACCCGTGAGAGTTGAGTTCTGAGTACTATTAAAGTTAACATTGTTCATTTTTGTCGGCAAAAAAAACCCCGTTGTGATATTTTCTTTAAATTGGTGATAGTGCCATAGCTAAGCGACAAATTAACCTTCGAAATTTAACTTATTATTGTTTTTATTGAGGGGGATGTATGGTTTAAAAACTTCGTAAAAGTGGGTCTGGGCCTTCCAAAAGCTATATCAAGAAAACTTGCTCTATGACTGCATCATAGAGTGTGAAAATGGGTGAAATCGAAAAATAACCACGCCAAGTTTACTATAAAGATGGTACGGAGGGGCTGCATATTAGACGGTATAAGGATATACAAGGTGCGTTCCAAAGTAAACAGGACTTTTAAAAAAAGAACAGAACAAATGGTTTTATCGGCAAAATAAATAAATTTTATTCAAAATAGTCTCCTTCTGCTTTAATACAGCTTTTTTTTGGACCGTGCACAAAAGCATGTCGAACGAGTGTTTTAGCTCGTTGCCCGGTATGGCCGCCGGTATGCCGGTGCAAGCCTTTTGAATGGCCTCCACGTCTGCATAACGCTTTCCTTTCATCAGCAAATGCATTTTTCCGAAAAGGTAGAAGTAGCACGGCGTCATATCAGGTGAATACGGGGATTGCATAACGTTTTGGCCGGGTGGAACAAATTCTTTGTGGACAATACCCTTGGAATCATTAAAACAAATTAGCATTGTCTTCACTTTTGAATTCTCCAGGCGCGATTTTTTGGGTTTCGGCTCATTTCTCATTTATGTCCTCACGTCCACTTTGAAAACGTTGAAACCACTCGTGCACTCTGCTACGGGATAGGCAATCATCGCCATAAACTTGTTTCATTAATTGAAACGTTTCGGTAAAAGTTGTACCAATTTTAAAACAAAATTTAATGTTGGCACTTTGTTCGAAGCTCATTTTCGCACCGATGACAAAAACATACTGACACTTAAAACGCGACCAATAGATAAAATGTCATGAAATTTTTACTGGAACACTAGAGTTTACTTTGTTACTGTTTACTTTAGAACGCACCTTGTATGTATAGAATCATTGGCTTGGCACCTACTAATTTTAGGCGAAACACTCTTTTTCAGCAACCACTAGACCAATTTCATCCAAATGTATGCTTAATTGAATATATATAATGTTAAATTTCATCTAATTTCTTTACTGAACAGTCAAGTTATAAATTAAACACAATAGTATAAAATGCTCGGTTCTACTCGAATTTAGCTCTTAATAATACAATTATATTTCAATAGGAAACTTTTACATTTTCAATTTTTGTGCATGAATAATTGTAATAATATACTATTGCAGGTTCCTAAATTTTCCAATAATGCTCATATAAACACAATTGTGTTTCTTCCGGTCTTTAAAAGTTTTATTTATCGAATATAAAATATTTTACATATCTGTTTTAACGAAATGGAATTGTTTTTTACAATATAAAATTCAAAGTGTGAGTGTAATTAGAGTAAAATCGTGTTCATATGAGTATTCCAACTTCGTCTAATGCAGCTAGCGATGAGCATCTCAAGCGCTGCGGCGACTATCATATTGAATAACAGTTTCGGTCAGCAGAATGTTGGGTACATCCAAACGCTTTTCATCAACAATTTGCCTATCCAGTGGGTAATTCAGGGGCAATTGGTCTACACCGATAGCAGCAATTCCCAAACCACTGATTTGCTGTGCATATACACCCTCAACAAATAAGAGTTCAGCTTTCTGGTTTAGTGGGGTCACTACAACCATTATTTGTACAGGCAATCCTCCATTGACAGAGCCACGTGGTAATAAAAGATTTCTTGGAAGCTGGCGAATAATACCGGTTTGTAGCTGTTGTTTTTGTCCAGTCATTATCTGACGGTAGATTTGGCTAATAGTGGAGACCTCGTTGCTGTAACCATTGAACTCGCGTGAATTGCGTTCGATATTGTTAATACCTGTCTGCAATTGTTGTACGTAAGCATCGATGAGAATGAAGTTATTCCGATTTTGTGCCAAAGATACGCGACGTCCATTGTAATCGATTTGAGGTGCGAGCAAAATACGTATGGCAACTTCTTGTTGATATTGAGATTCAATATCCAAAGAAATGGAGAATGGTTGATAATTTAAACGCTGTTGGCGAGCTACCACCTTTTGGCCAAGTTGTTGCAGATTGTTGGCGTTCGACTGCAAAAGCTGCTGATCGATCATATTGACAAGATCCACATCTACAACCTCAGTATAGGTGACCAAAGGATCGATTTGAATATTTTGAACTTTAATGTCACCATTACCGCTCAATTGGCTATTGGTGTATGGTTGCGAATTCTGGCGGTAACCATCGATTAGTTGGGCCAATGATAATATGGTTTGTTGAGTTACTGGACTGCGTAAAGAGCCGAATAATAAAACAAGCGGAGTCACCTCATTCACTTGTCCAACTTGATTTCCAACAATGCGCTGTATTTGCTGTTGCAATTCTAGTAAAGTACGCTTCACATCGATCGATAGTTGTTGCTGCTGTTCGAGTACAATCCTGCCGCCAATAACATCTGCGACGATATACAGCGTCCGTTCGCTTCCTTCGCTAATACCAGCTTCTTCACGTACTTGTTCAACTAGTGTACGGATTTGTTGAATTATTTGATCTACTTCCTGCTGCACGATCTGAATATCTTTTTGTTGGTAAACTCTTCCTTCAAGGGTATCCACAATGCGCTGAATATTTAACCTGGCAGCCAATTCTTGTATACTTTGTAAAAGTATTTCTCCGCGTCGAGAATAACTTAACTGCTGGGTGACGTCAATACTACGTGCGATGCCCTCACGGAATCCTTCCAGCTCGTGATATTGTTCGGTATTGCGATAACTAACCCGTTTACCTTCATCGCTGCGATAACGTGTACCACCTTGCCCACGATTGCGTGTATCACGAACTACACGATCAATCACGACAACGTCATCCCCAATATTGGCGTTAACAACTCTTTGTGGTCCATAGGGCAGCGCATGATAGGTCTGCTGCTGTTGTTGACCTTGATACTTGTCTTGTTGTTGAATGCTTGGTTCATATTGGTGTTCGTAGTTTTTATAATAATATTGTTGGCTACCGTATGGATTGTAATAAGTCGAGCTATATATTGGATAATTGTAACTGTACTTTGATCCTTGATTGGGTTGACCACCATAATAATATTGCTGACCTTCGTAATCATATTGAGATCCCTGATACTGCTGACGACCATATGGTATACCATAATAGGAACCGTATTGAGATCCTTGTTTCTGTTTCCCATATGAGTTGTAAACATATTGAGATCCCTGATTTTGTTGACGACCATAGGAGTATTCGTTGTCTTTGTAACCATACTGAGATCCTTGATTCTGTTGATCATATGAGTTGTAACCATATTGAGATTTCTGATTTTGTTGACGACCATAGGAATTTTCGTTGTCTTTGTATCCATACTGGGATCCCTGTTTCTGCTGACCATATGAGTTGTAACCATATTGAGATTCCTGATTTTGTTGACGACCATAG